ACAGTGGCCAGTAATAAAACCTTTAAAAATTCTTATTTCATGCCTACTGAGGTGAATGAGTTCTTCGATTCTCATTGTTGATATATCTGGAATGAAGAACTTAGCCTGTCTGTTACCTTGCGTATTTGTCCAGTAATGTTGCCCTTCCTTTTCCATCCAGATATACATAGTAGTTTCGCCTAACGGAGCTCCATAGCAGACCAGTAAAGGCTCCTGTGCCTATGAATCCTTGTGCAGCCCCTTTACTGTCTCCCGGTACCTACCCATATGAGGTATACTAGGTTCCTGGTGGCGATAAATATTAAAAGCTGTTGGCAGACCTCAGACATAGTTCAATGGCGTGCACCTCGGCCTGAAAGACACAGTTACCTTGCCCCATGCTGGTGAAAAGGAGCTGTCTGGTTTGTTTGCCGTAAATTCCTGCTCCGGAGCTGCGCTTCCGTGGTTTAGGTCGTTTGGTGTCCCAGCTCTTCCTGTTGGGGGAAAAAAACGACCTTGAAGTTTTATGTAAAGTTAAATCTCGGAAGGCACAGGTCCACAAAACTATTGCGCACCCTAAGTAAAACAAGTTCATTACGTTTTTTCAACATAATTTGATCGAGACTTGCATTGCCGAGCTAAGTAGTTAGAGGTCTGACCAATGCAGTGTAGCTTGGCTGTCAGTACAGACAAGTTAACTCCTGCTTCATCACCTATTTTCCATAACGTAGTCCATGGCCTTTAGGATTGCTCGGGTAGAAAAACAGAGGCCTTTTCCGCTTAATTACAATATCAATGAACTCTTCATTCGACCCTAAGCTCTTATCTTTCGAGCGGTCTTGGGCTTTATACTAGTAGACGAAAACTTTCTTACTTTTTCCTTTCCCGTTCCACCGACATTTAGTGGGACCAACAAGTGATCTTACTTTTCATTTAAAAGCCAGCACCTACTACATTACAAGGAAAGCCTCTTTAAGATTTCCGATCAGGGAATAATTGAAGCTTACGAGTTGTAGATGATGGTTCAAAAATATTACAGCTAGAAATCAGCCCCGGCTTCTACTCAGAGTGCCTGCAGGTAAGTCAGTATTCTTGCCTGCGAATTGACTGCAGCGCCTCGTAGCCTTCTACTAAATAGCTTTGTTGCAGAAAAGCTACTATCTTCGATAGGCAAGCGGCGTCGAAAGAAATGGTCAGTGTTGGCCATCCAGCGTCACTATTTGCTGGGTTCTCGGAACACGATGATCTCATGGGCAGCGAGGTAGCTGATAAGCGTTCCCAGGATAGTCGGGTCTGCGTAACAGGAACGTCCCACGTTGCAACTGTAGAAACCCAATAATGTATGGAAGAATTTGTATTGCTCTTGAGACTTATAACACTACACAACCTCCGTTTAGGGATCCTAGGTTGAAAATTCAATACACCGTCGCCGTTACGAAAATAGTACTACTCATACTAATATTATTTTGCACTAAAATTCTACTTCACATACTAATTTTCAACAATTTGGATCAAATATTAACTGAAATATCATGGTTTTTGCATTTTTCGAAAACATCATTATATGAGAAAGGGGCGTGGTTACAGTCCGATTACGCCCATTTTCAATTGCAACCTACCTTGGATAAAGTGCAACCTATTTACCAAATTTCGTTGAGATATCTAAATTTTTGCTCCAGTTATCGTGTACACGGACAGACGGACGGACAGACAGACAGACATGGCTTAATCGACTTCTCTTTTCATTCCAATCATTTATGTATGCATTTGTCCATATCTATCTCGATTCCTTTAGGCTGTTACAGACAACCGTTATGCGAAAAAAGTTATAGTACCCATGTATCAGTGCGCTCGGGTATAAAAAACAATGGCATTTTTCGTTCACTGTCACTGAAGATGGCGTTCGCTCCAAAATACATCTCTCGAAAGAATCAATAAATTTTCTACTCTCTTCGCTATTGTGTGTCTGTCTGGTCCTTTAACTTGCGGTCTATCTTAAGATACACGCAAAATAATTTGCCAGAGCTGCAAAAACTTTAAATAGATATATATATATGCAATCGAAGCGCAAAATAATGTTCGCAACCCTGCTGATATTCGTCGTAAGAAAAAATATTCACGCAGTTTCTGCAATTCATTTCCGAATTTCAACCCCTTGCAATATGAATTCAAATTGGCTTTGATTAAAATTTACACGGAAGTGAATTGCAGAACCTGCCTGAATGTATGTAAACGTAAACTCACTGCTCACTGGGTTACTTATTCGGATGTAATCTTAGTTATGCATCTCATTGCTTCTTAATGATTTATCTGCTTTGCCGCATCTGCTTCACTACACTACTACTGATTTATCCCCTAAATATCGTTTTACCTGTGCTCTACGTACGACGGTACCACCACACATCTCCGCTCAACTACAACAATGTTGTTAGACTTGCCTACCTGGTAATTTGTCGCCAATAGTTGTTGTAGCACAGACTCACATTTTCGAAGTTAAATTACTATGTACATATAGCTATTATTTCCTCACACGCTCGCTCGCTCTAAATTTCCATTACACAATCCATCCACTGCATATGTACGAATGTATTTTCTCCAGTTACTTTATCCTGCCCCTAAGGCCTTCTTTGTATTGTTGTAAATTTTCAGCTGTGCTCTGGAAGTTGCAAATCATCCTTCAACTATTGTTTTAACACTTGTAAATATGGATGTGTGAGTTCCACCCAGGAGCTAAACTACCTGCTAATTTTTCCTCTGACAACGTCGTCGTCTTTCCCTCTACTCTACCTTTCGTCGGCAGTGGCTCGGTGAAAGTCATTCGAAGACGTTCATAATAAATCTTGGATCTTAGTGATTTATTCGTTGTGTCTACAATGTGCAAGCAAAACGTGTTCTAAGAAAGTGGAAAAGTGTTTACATATATATGTCGTGTAAGGCTCAACGACATTTACATAGCTACCAAAATTATTATTATTATTTTTTTTCGCACGCATGTACGGCTTTACAAAATGCCTTTGGAGCTCCTTACCTCGTTGCGTAATTTGAAAGCGCGTACCGTTCGAAAAATCGGCGCACTCTTACAAATATTGCTGTTAAATCATGTGCCAAGATTTTTGGCAATTGCGGCGTGTGTCATTAATTTGTTGGCATTATTTTTTATGTTATACATGTATTTGGAAAATATGGGAGCCTACTTGGCCAAACACAATGTTACACGCACGCTGCTGCGGCTTGAGGATAAGTTGCCTGGGAATTAATCTGTATGAATAAGCGGTAAGAATGAGTTCGATATTTCGATTGAGCGGAATCTAAATAAAATCTATAGAATGGTGCGGAGGTAACCGTCTGCGAATAAAACGATGGAATGCACCTTTCCTTCCAGTTTTTGTGAATATACGGTATCGGTCATATCAATAGCCCGGCCCCCCCCGCTTCCCCCTTTTCAAAGTGATATTGTGCGGCTAAAAATTACCGATGATTTTTTTGTCCCATTTGCTTCCATTTAACAAAAAGCACAATTTGTTTTTATATGGAAGAAAACCGCGACAGAAAAAAAACAACGGTAATTTTTTCCGCTTGAAACTTTCACATTATTAAACTTATAATATTATTATTAACTATAAAACTGTGTTCTCAAAAAAATTCTAACCCTTCTGAGAAAGAATTTTGAAATTTGGATGTACATACAGTATTGGACATATCTATAGCACCCCCATTTCAAAGTGCTATTGTTTGCCACTTGTGTTTAATTATTTATTTTTAAGAATTTTCAATTAAAATACGGTTAATTTTCTAACAAAACTAATATAAAACCAGGTTTGAAACTTTTTAAAAGGCTACAAAAAAACCCAACAAATTTTAACCCAAATTTCAAATTTTTTTCTCAGAAGCGTTAGAATTTTTTCGAGTACGCAGTTTTATAGCCCATTCAATTTTAGTCTGATAATGGGCAAGTTTCAAGTCGCTAAAAATTACCGTTGATTTTTTAGAATTTTTTTCCCCCCATTTGCTTTCATATAACGAATAAACACAATCCATTTTTATATGGAAGAAACTCGCAACACCTTCGGCGAAAAAAATGCTAAAAAATCGACGGTAATTTTTAGCACATTATTGGACTAATAAAATTGAATGGGCTATAAAACTGTGTACTCGAAAAAATTCTGACACTTCTGAGAAAAAAGCTTAAAATTTGGGTGAAAATTTGTCGCGTTTTTTTGTAGTCTTTTAAAAATTTTAAACTTGGGTTTATATGAGTTTTGTTAGATAATAAACTGTATTTGGAATGGTGGTGCTATTGATATGACCGATACTGTATGTAATAGAAACTTTTTATTTTGACCAGTTTTGGCTATATTACTTTTGTTTATTCGATGTTTAATATTTTTTTTTCAAGTCTAGCGCATTATATAAGACGCACCATATAAATCCGCCTTTCAAACTTTGTACAAAAATTATAAAAATTCAACAAATTTTTACCGAAATCCCCCAAAAATTTCAAACTTTTTAATCAGATTTTTTTTGAAAAAGTTTGGGTATGTAGTTTTATAAATAGCATGTGGTTGCTACATAAATCTTGGCGTTAAACGTATTCGCTAAGATCTGATGTGGTTTTAGGCGCCAAAAAAAAAAATCCCTACCAGTAATTTGATACTTAATTTTCAGGTAAAAGCCTAGTATACCTCCCATTCGATACCAACCGAATTAAAGTGATTGAAATATCTACAAAGAGTTATATGTATAATTCGAGTCCGTTGTACGCAGAAGGCTGCAAATTCTTTCAGACCTTGCAGGTTTGGATACCATCTTACCTTTGATTAATATAACGCAAAGGCTTTCGTTGTCTTGTCTTGATAGCTACGACCCAACGGCATCAAGATCAACACAATTATTTGTCTGTAGTCGAAAGCTCTACGCTCTACACTGTTTTAATAGGCTGGAAGTAATTATCTCTTTTGTATGCATTCATTGATTCCAAAAATCAACATAAGATTCAATTTTCGTTAATTTTTTTATTTCAGAACCCGATCTCGGCATGCCACAACACGAAGCGCAAAGATACTTCCTCCAACTGCTCTCCGGCGTACAATACCTACATCAGCATGGTATAGCGCATCGTGACTTGAAGCCGGAAAATTTACTACTAGACGAACATGATAATATCAAAATATCGGACTTTGGCATGGCAACCATGTTTAGGTATTAGGTACAACAATTTAATTTACTTAGCAATTTATTTTACGAACGAATGAAGTTTACACGCAGGAAATAAAAAAATAAAATAAATAAGTAAAAACATAACTAATTCTTACATAAAAAGGACTAAAATATATCAAAAAAAAGCAACAAATAAAAATAAAAGAATAATAAAAAACATACTAATTAAAAAAAGGAACTAAAGGCATATTTGAATAAAATTTAAAACAATTAGAAAAAAAAATAAGAATAAATTAAAAGCAATTTTTAAACAAATGAAAACAAAACCGACTTCAATTCTCATATAAAATTTAAGAATTCCGTTGATTTCTTCATGATCAAATGATCGGATCTAAACCAAATTAGTATGGGACCACATCCTTTAAAAAAAAGAATTCGGTTAACGTGGTCGAAAGGTATGCGGTAGCATACATAAAAAAACAAGTTCCGACGAATTGATAACCTCCTCCTTTTTTGAAGTCGGTTGAAACTTAAAAAATACAAATATAAAAAACTTATTAAAAAAGTAACCGCTAATAAATTTTTTATAAATAAATATATTAAAAAAGTAGAAGTGAATTAAAAAGTTTTATATTTAGAATTTTATTGAGTTTGACTGAGGTCGTTTTTAATAAACATTTTTGCGAAAAAACAACTTTAACTTACATACATACATACATATCGTTAACTAAAATAAAGTTAACATAAAATTACCAAAAAAAAAAAAAAAAATTAATTAAAAAAAAAAATAAGTTGGATTTAATCTCTACAAAATTAAAATAAAGTTAAAGCAAGTAAAATAAAGTTAAACGGATTTAAATAAAGTTAAAAAATTAAAATTAAGTTTAAAAAATTTTAACTTATAAAACATTGCATAAATAAAAAAGTAAAAAGATAAAATACAAAAAATTTAAGCACATTAAATAAAAAAATTAAAAATAAAAGTTATTAAGAAAATAAAAATTGTTTAAAATTTAAAAAAATAGAAAAAGTTTCAAAGAAAGATGTGTGCTTAAAAAAATGAAAATAAAGTTATAAAACAAGAAAAGATTTTTGCTTCAGTAAAAAATTTTAATTTTATTAAGAAATCTTTAACGAAATTTCGCATTGATAAAGAAAATTGCATATTAATGATGATTTCCATAATCTTAAAAAACTGAAAATTTCAATACTTGAAAAATATTTTATACAAATTTTAAAACTTCAGTCAAAGATTTACAGAGTTAAGAGGTTTTCAAACGGAATTTGATAAACTCAAGATGCAATGAAGTTATTGCAATTTGTATAAATAATTTATCTTATCAGCCCTTAGAGCAGGTTACTCAATGTCTGGTTAACAGTAACTACAGGTTAAACATACTTATCGACTCTCTGTTATGTTTTATGGAGTCGTTCACGTCAATGAGGATGTTTAACCTGCCCATAGTGTTAGCCAGACATTCAGTAAACTGACTGAATTCTGCAAATTTACTAAAATCAATTACTCATCTCGATACATCTTATTTTCTTTTTTTTTTTTTTAATATTACCACCACAGATATAAGGGTAAAGAACGTCTATTGGACACCCGTTGTGGCACACTGCCGTATGTGGCGCCTGAAGTGCTCGTTAAGCCCTACCATGCGCAACCCGCCGATCTCTGGTCCTGCGGAATTATACTGGTCACAATGCTGGCTGGTGGTAAGTAAAACCAAAAACTAATATCACTCAACTACAGCTGTTGCGAACTGTGTGTACAACACACAAACAATTGCAACAGATTGCTTACACCTTGAACAGTTGGAAACTCGCTTAGTGCAAAAGTTATTTTTTTTCTAATTTAGCAATTTTCTGGTATTAAAAATATCGCACAACATTCCTAATACAAACTGGTCACACAGATAAACACACAGATGATACATATATAGTTTGATTGAATGCATGTTTTTATAGCATTTTTCTATGCATAGTGTGTTTATATATACATACATATGTATTTAGATTACTTACTCGTATTCATACAGCGTTATTACGTATGTACATAAATTCGCTCATTCGTTTTGCATTTTTCGCTTATTTCGTTTGCTATAAATGTTCGCCCTGCCGCAACAGGCTGACAACGCGACGCGCAGCATTCAACGCCCAACAAATATCCTTGGGGAAAAAATGTGAAATTTTTACATTCACATATTATACTTTTGTTTTTGTTCTTTATATACATATATACATACATAGTGCACGGTTCGCTGGGTGACACGCCCAGCTTATTTCACATCCATTCACCCTTGCACTCGCTCACGCATTCTAGTATCAATATCCGTCCAACTCGTTAGTCGACACATCCGCGCATCCTCATCAATCAAGTCGGAACACATTTTTATTATTTGCCTCGATTTCCTCGCCGCTGCACTTGTTTTGGGTGCAGTTTTTTGCGTTTTTTTTTTTTGCTTTGTATGTTTGAATCTCTGGCTCGCCGCGTTGATTATCGCCACTAGTGTGGTACTCGCACATCGCCCTCGAGTTTTCATTTCTTTCCGCTCGCGCTTGTCGAATTAAATTTTCGTTATGTGTTTTATGCGTGTCTTGTAAAAGAAGTTATCGCGGCTCACATATTCGCTTGCGAATATGTATCTATGTAGTTTATTGTTTGGATAAGAATTTAGATTTAATTCTAAGCTTATGTTTAAAATTTGTTGCACCATTAAACTCATAATCAATCAATCAGCCAATCAATCGACCGACCGACCAACCAATCGACCAGCCCAGCCTATCAATCGACTAATCAATCAATCAATCGAATCATTTTTGCTGTGTCTTTGGTATTCTAGCTGTAGATTTTTTAATTTGCTATCATCTAAAGCTTTTATACCAAAGCTCCAGCTTAAATTGCTTGCTGCACATTTTTTCGTTTTGTTTCGTTTTCGTTCGTTCTCGTTATTTTTTTCTGTTAATTTGTTCGTTTGTTGTTCGTTCGTTCTTTATCGCTTGAATGCTCGTTTTTGTACATACTATAATATTTTTTTATTTACCTTTTTTATTGCCGTTACCGTTATGTTTGCTCTTTTTTCATTTATTTTTATGCATATTTACATCAAGTGCTACGTTTGCACACTTTGCGCTAATGTTTTAAATTATTATATTTTTTTCTTTTGCAAAATGTGAAATGTGAAAATATGTTTTATGCAATTTTTGCCACTGCTGCGTTTGACTTGCAACACTTGTTCGCTTAAAAGATATGACGATGATTATATTTAAGAAATTGTCAATATTTTAAGATAATGTGTCTAAAATTAATACATAAATATCTGATCAGAAAAAAGAGGTTATATTAATAGTTGTAAATAAATTTAGCAAACTATAGTTCTGAGATTATAATTTAATGGCCTTATTCATAAAAGTTAAAATAGGTTTAAAGAACTTTATAAGTGACATGAATAATAAACTAATAATTGAAAAAAAGCAAACTAAACTAAACGAAAAAAATAAAAATTAAAAACAAATATTAATAAAATGAAATAATTAAGCAAAATATTAAAAATAAGTATGTGTAATGAAAAAATAAAGCAAAAGATGAAAAATAATAAAAAAAAAATTAAGAAATTACAAATTTAAAATTAATAAAAATGAAAAGGAATAAGGAGTATAAAAAAGGAAGAGGTTAAATTAAAATTAGAAATAATAAAATAAAACAAAAATAATAAAATAAAATATATGAAAAAATTATAAAATAAATAAAGCATTAAATAAAATAAATAATAAAGCAAAATAAAAAGGAATACAATTACATAAAAAAATAATTAAAATAAGATAAAACAAATAAATAAAAACGAAATATCAAAAATTAAATTAAAAAGTAAAAATATTAGACAACTAAAAAACAAAAAATATGATGTATAGTATATTTTTCCCGTTAACATATTTTGATACCTATAAACTTTTATAAATAATAGTGCACCTAAAATATATAGTTATAGTAAAAGAAAAAGAAAAATAAAAGAAATTAAAGTAAAAATAAAAAACAAAAAAAAAATAAAAATAAAAGATTTAAAATCACATACAATAAAAAAGAATAAAATACAAGTAATCTTTAGCCAATAACATCGACATCCATTCACATATAAAAATTTAGGGAGTACCGTTAATTTTTTCATGAACCAAATTAGTATGTGACCACTATTGTGGTACTTTCCGACGAAAAAAAAATTATGCGGTAACATACATACATAAAAAAACAAAACAAAATCTTCCTACGAATTGATAACCTCTTCCTTTTTTGAAGTCCGTTGAGAATAAAATGAAACAAATAAGAATCAAGATAAGATAAAATAAAACAAAAAAAGATAAAAATTTAAATAATATAAAAAATTCAACAAGGCAAAAGAAAACAAAAAATAAAAACTTAAATATCATAAAATAAAAAATAGAAATTTAAATAAGATAAAATAAAACAAAAAAATTAAATTTACACACAAAACACAAGAGTAAAAAATTCCAAAAAAAGTTCTGAAAAAAAAAAATAAAAACACTATAAAAAATAATAAAATAAAATAAATGAACAATAAAACAAAATAAATAAAGAATAAAACAAAGTAAATTAAAAATAAGAATCGGAATAAAATAAAATAAACAAAAAACACAACGAAAAATAAGATAAAATAAAAATTTAAATACGATAAAAGAAATAAAAAGCAAAATTAAAAATATTAGAAAATCAAAAAAAAACATCAAAATACTACTCGAGTACAAATTTCCGCGTTAATATATTCCAGTACCTATAACTTTTACAAGGAGTAATGCGCAAAATAATGTGCAACTTCAAAAGACGACATATTTATCATAGACGAACGTGTCAAACACAAATTGAGCCCTGCACGTCAAAAAAATCAATAAGCGAATTTTATTTTTCAAAAAATTGCATTTTGCTGCAGAAATGCTCCTAGAGCATCTAGATGCATTTCTGCATCAAAAAAGAAATTAAAACTAAAATGTTCTACTACATACATATTTTGTTAATCATATGAGAGTTTCATAATGAGACACTCTTCGGAACGCTAGTTAAGTATAGAATTTAATAAATAGTTTACTAAGTGGAAAAAAACTCGTTTAAAGATTTTAACAACTCGATCATCTTCCAATTTTCAACTACAGAACTGGCCTGGGACCAACCTTCTACTAATTGTCAAGAATTCAAAAATTGGACTGAAAATGAACGCTGGTCAACACAAACGCCATGGAGTAAATTGGACACGCTGGCGATATCGTTGCTACGCAAAGTATTAGCCACAAATCCCACATATCGACTGACACTCGACAAAATCGTCGACCATAAATGGTGTAACATGCAATTCAATGAAAATGGTAAGTACGAATTGATGTGGCATCATTTATTTATTTATTAGTGCACATAAATTTGTAAATAAGAATAAAAAAAAAAACAGTGCAGTTATAACATCATAGTTGTGCGTGCTTAAATGCCTAAAAGATTCCACCAGTGCAAGCTTAAATAAAGCTCCAAGCAGACACCACATTTTGCACCCACTTCCACACTACAGCTCAGAAACATTTGTCCAGGTACTTAGTGACTCTCAAGTATGCATTGTTACTTAGCGTTGAGGGTTACTTTGTGCCTTAATAAAAGTTTCTGGAATAACGGCGATAGACTACGATGGAGTTAGGAAGTGTTTTATAGTGGTTTCAGTGAAATTTTTGAGTGAATTTGAATAAAATTTCCATGGCTTTTATTTAATGACTTTTATGTTTTAGCGCTTTAATAAGTTTACGCATATTTCGCCCAGTTTGTTTTTTTGCCTTCCTAATGTTACATTTGCTTTACTGTGCTGTTAGTTGAAAGCTCTAAATCGCGCATAATTTTAGGCGACACATACTTTCCTAGCTTTCACCATGAAAAAAGCTTTCTTGCGTCGGTCGCCAACTGGCAGCTTTTCATCGCTTTGGCGCTTTAGCTGTATGATAGATTTGACTACTTCATAAAGCTAGATTACCAAAGCATTGAAGAGACTGCTTCAACTTCGTTGAAACTCGTAGAGGATAGTAAACGAGAGTTGATTGGGGAAAGAGTAAAAAAAAAAAACGACGTTATGAAAAGTAAAATATCGCAGTCTCGAAAGAATGCTCAAAATTTAAAATATCGAAATAGGAAAAAATTATAAAAAAAAAAATCGGTAAAAATATAAATAATTTCTAAACCGAAAAAAGAGAAGATAAAAAATCTTAGTTTATAAAATTATAATTAAACACAAATAGTAAAAATTAAAAGAATAATGATGAAAATTAAAAAAAAAAAATGTAAAAATTAGAAATTGAATAAACCTAAACCAAGCCAAAGAAAATAAAAGAATGTTTGGGAAAAACTCGGACGAATTGGTAAAAAGTTTAAAGTTTAAAATCAGTGAAATTCAGAAGAGGAAGAAACAAACAAAAGATTAAAAGTGAATCACTAAAAAATAAGATGTGAAACACGAAAAATCAATAAATAATAAAACAAAGCAATTAATAATAAACAATACAACAAGAAAAATAGAAAGTATTAAAAATAAATACAAGTCATTTTTAAGCAAAAAATGCAACCGACGTCAATGCTCATATAAAAATTTAGGAGCACAGAATTAGTATGGCGCCACCCCCTATACAAAAAATAATCGAAAACGGTCCACGTGGTCCAAAGTTATCCGGTTACATACCTAAAAAATAAATCCGATCTTTTCTCCTTTTTATGAAGTCAGTTAAAAATAAAACAATAAAAATGAATACAAAATTAATAAAAAATAAAGCCAGAAAAAGAAATAAAAAATAAGTTATATGAAAAATTCAAAAAATTAATAAAATGAATAAAAAATTTATTAACATAAAACAAATAAATAGGAAACAAACACGTAGGAATAAAAAACGAAAAAAAAACAAAAATAATAAATATAAAAAGACAATACTAAATGAAAAATATTGAATAAAAAAACTTAAAAATTGTTTTTTACAAAATCATCGTTTAAAAGTGAATCTGGCATATTTAAATTTTAATTTTGTTTTATTAAAAAAAATTGGTTCGAAGTAAATAGAAGTGAAAATTACGAGTTCATATGTTTTGTGGAAGTGGAAAATTCCAATCTATATTTTTTATATAAAAAATATATATATTATTTGTGCTTTTGTGTTGCGTTTATTTTATATTTGCATTTTATTTTCATTTGCATATTATTTGTTCTTTGGTGATTTTAGCTGTATGGTAGACAAACATGAAATCCATAGAGCTTTATTACCAAAAACCAAATGATTATTGCGTTTTCAGTTCAAATGCATTCAATTAAGTTTTTAAGTTTTCTTTCGCAAAAGTGTTTTGTGTATCGTAAGCATGGTTTTTTTTTTTTGTTTTAAGTGTAATTTTTGTTATCAAGTAATTTATTAACTCTTCTGCACTTCAACACAACTAATTTTCCTTTACACATCTTCTTTTTCACCAGAACACTCGCACGATCTCGTCGACTCGGCGGCCACACTCGACATCCACTCGCCGAAAGCCAAACGACCGCGCCAACATTCAAGCAACCATCGACTCAACAATCACTTTGTCGACGATACAATATCGCGCAATTATTGTTCACAACCTATGCCCACGATACCCATAGATCTGACGGATGTGTGCAGTGCACCTCGTGGCACCAAGCACAACAACGACGCTGCACATGAAGCACGCTTTAATTTCTGTTTCTCACAACCAGCCCTGCTGGACGATCTGTTGGTATGCACCCAAATGAATCAAACACAATCGGCTTCGCAGAATGTCTTTCATCGTTTGGTGCGTCGCATGACACGCTTCTTTGTTACCACGCGCTGGGATGATACCATCAAGCGGCTGGTGTCGGCCATCGAACGCTTGGGTTTTGCCTGCAAAGTGGGCGATGGTGGTGTAGTTACCATATCGACAATTGATCGGCGGAAACTGCGTCTCGTATTCAAGGCGTACATTATTGAGATGGACGGCAAGATTTTGGTGGATTTCCGTCTTTCGAAAGGCTGTGGTTTAGAATTCAAGCGCCGCTTTATTAAAATTAAGGAAGCGCTGGAGGATATCGTGCTGAGAGGACCGACAACGTGGCCCATTGCGATTGCAACGAATGCTGTGCCTTGAAGGAGGTTGTATGTAGCTGGTTGGCTGACGGATGATAGCAAAAATGCGTAGCACGTTTTTTTTTTTACTTTCTACTGAAGCTGGAAGGAGTAGCAACAACCATCTTTAAATTTAATTTATTAGTAATAATTTTGTACTTTAATCCAAAGTCATCTTGCTATACGAATGTTTACAAAGAAAATATGTATTCTATAAACGCTTTTTATTTTAGTGTTATAGCTGCTCATCGATTATTACATATTATTATTGTTTTACTATTCATATTTTCATTAACCTTCACATTTACATAGTTTTAGTTAATGACTTAGTTACATTTGGGCTGTATTAATTTATTAAAAGAAAAAAGAAAAACGACAAATGTTTGTATTTATACACATTTAAAAAAAGAATATTAGGTAAATAGAAAAATACACGAAAAAGTAAGTGCTAAAATAAAGAAATATTATTTGTAAATACGTAGCAAAAAATTGTTGCCGATTCTAATTTTAATTTGTTTCTCTGCGAAGACGATATGTTCGAGCAAAGTAATAATTACCACAATATTGCTACCTTGTTGTTTTCTTGATGCGCTGTTGCTGATTCTCAATTGGAAATCTACTGAAATGCTGCGAATCATTTGATTCGCTAGTGATGATCGGCGGATTGCCAAACTCGTTCCTTAATTGCGTGATTTAAAAATTGGCATTGCCGCATTTATTGCAGCTCGAATACACCCCAACTGTTTAGAATTACAGCAATCTCTATAAAAGGGCACTTAGTTCTCGATATTGAGAAAAATGTGAAATAGCTGATCGTATTCTAACCTTGAAATCCAATTGGTTTCCAATGCCTAACTATTATGATTTGCATTCGATATTTGCCTGTGGTCGAAAGTACTGATCGAACGAATTTTCATTGGTATTATGACGCTCATTCGATGAAGAATAGCGCTATTAATGAGCGCTTAGTAGAAGTGGCCAGGAGTAGAAAATGTTTTAGAGAGTTAAAATGTATCCTTTCGAATATATTTTGTCTTACAATATATTTAGGAAATTTCTCTACAAATATATTAAAAACACTCCACTGTCTAAATAGGCGTGAAATTAATTAAAAAAAAAAATTAAAATTGGTGTTTAGCCGCCAGAAAGTATGAAAACAAGCGCAAAATCATACATTTCTCACAATTTTCTCACACTTCGCTACAGCACGATTTGTAAAATAATAGCTAGAAACAATACTGCCTACCTTACCTATCGAGTCAATGCCTTCAAAGAAAAGCAGGTTTTTCTCTCATGTACATATATGGGGTCTAAACATTATCACACCCCTCTTCAAAAGAGGCTCAACTCAAAAATCGGATTCTGTAATATAAATGCTGTGTGGCGCTTTCGTGTTCAAACAACCTCCCCTGCATCGAACACGTTTTTGAAATTCTGACCATCCGCTTATTTTCTCCACATCGAAATAATTCAGAACACTTTCGTTAAATTCACAAAGTTTCTTGCATTTATCGAGGTTGTACTCATGTTTGGGGAATAAAACACCGAAGTTTTCAAAAACAGATTTTTTTTAATAAAACGACTCTGAAGATGAGTTATGTTCGTTTCGATGAATGGAATATAGAATGCAATTCTATAGTAATCTTCAACGCTCCCAGTTTTGAAACAGCATTTATTTCTTTGGCGTTTTTTGATGCATGGTTTCGTCGTTCGAATGAACAGGTACGATCAGTCACTCGTTCACGACTGCCACCGTACCGAATTACGAGACAAGCAGCACGTCTGTTATAATCCGAAATATGCTTTTTTACGTGACGAGGTGTTCGTTCACGGCTGTCAGTATTCGAGCCAAGGCGAATCTATACATATATATAGATATATATATATCTCATATATATATATTTCTGTACATATATACATATATATATACAGGGTGTCCCAGAAGTAACCTGCCAAACTTGAAGGTAGATGGGGGGGGGGGGGGGGTTAGCTCCCTGATAAGCAAAAATTTTTCAGGTAAAAGTGTCACCGTTTT